AGATAGATAGATAGATAGATAGATAGATAGATAGATAGATAGATAGATAGATAGATGGATGGATGGATGGATAATAATGGATGATGGATGGATGTAGACTCCTACTAAAGAATCAAAGTTATTTATTTGCAAAGTATAGAGAATTACAAGGAATGTCTTTTGCCGCAGGTGGTGTCCTGGATCAAGCAATTTAAATATACAACTAAAACTACAAAGAATTAATACATTAGAATTAATCAAAAAATAGTTATTTTTCAGAAGAAATATCCATCCATGTTTTATAACTGCTTGTCCTATTCAGGGTCGCTGGGAGTCTGGGGCTTATCCCAGATACTATGGGCGCAAGGTGGTGAACAACCCCAGACGGGCCGCCAACCCACCGTAGGGCACAATCACACACTATTTTAAAAATACCGTATATCTCGGTATAATGTCTGGACAGTATGAAAACTCAGATACCCAGGGACCTCCGACCCTCCTCATACAGCTGCTCTCCATAACTACTACAACAACATCTATTCTTCCTCTACTATTTTGTCATTGACCATTTTAAAGCATATATCACATAATGTATAAAATGAATAACAATTAAAATTGCTAAGCTAGCAAAGGTTTTTTTTTTTCTATGACAGAGTAAATATGTTTTAGTGAAACGTGACCTCCATGGACTATAAAGTCCGTACAGAATTGAAAATAAGAAAAGGCCTGATCTTAATCTAGCTGGCTAGCGATGTCAGAATTGCATGTGTATGACATGCGATGTTATTATTAATATCGCGCATCATCCAGCCCTATAATACTGCAGCCATTTTTCCAATTCAGTACAAAATACCCCGCCTGGTGCTGTGATGTCATTCAGTGCTGGTACCAGTTGAAAACCAACGCCAGTGAAAAAACCAACAAGTACTGTACTTTTGGTACTATAGCGCCAGGCGGCCCTAAGCGAAGGACAAGGAGACTTGCTTGCCAAGGCAGATCAGCCTCTTTATTGTAGTCCTGAACAGGATTGTAGCAGGAATGAGCACCGAACCCAAAAACGCCCAGCGGACACACAAGGTGGTCAGACGCTGAACTGTAGGGTGCACACACAGTGAGATTCATTATGATATGAGACAGAAACATTTATTCTGTGCAATGATATGCCAATGTATATATATATATGTGTGTGTGTGTAGCAGACAGGCTGGAAAAACATTGTTAATGGAACAGTTGTGTTAGCTTACCCAGTTCCTGAAGGAGCTGAGGCTCGTGTTCCTTCAGAAGTTTGTAAAAGGCCTGTTTCGCAGGTGCTCCTCCGAGGTCCAGGTCGTTGTAGATGTTCTTCATGGTGTTCTGACTGGTATCATTCAGCAGCAGCAAAGTCCACCTGTTATGCATCTTCTTGTGTTGGAGCAGACCCCTCCCGATGGTGTCCACCGCCCTCACCCTCTCGATGAGCTCAGCCCGGTGCTGGTCCACAAAGCGAACAGCTGCACAAGAAGCCCACAAGCGTGACCACATTTGGCAGAAGCACATTTCTGAAGGTCAACAACATTACGACACCATGGGTGTCATCACCTACTTATGAATGACAGTGCTATACAGTCTTGGTCAGGGTTATGGGAATGGGAATAATACGGAATGTAGAATATCTTCAGAAATAAATGGAAATGAACCAATTTTATAATCATAATATTTTATAAAATGTCCAAAGTTATTGAACAACAACAGCAACAAAAAAAGCTGTCATATAGTGAAAGAAAAAAAATGTAGACATAAAATATCAACTGAGAATGATTATTGGTACTCTTTTTATGATTTTGAATTATTTCCTCAAACAAATAAGACTCACCTGTGTTTAATCTTCATTGCTAACATGACCTGAACTAAAGCAATGTGGTTTTGCTGCTTAAAAAGGGGCTGATTGCTTCCAGTTTCTTTTTCACAATGGCAAAGACAAGAGGGCTGTCTGAGAGCATCAGAACTGCTATTATCAAAAAGCATAACAGTTCCAAAGGTTACAAGGCAATCGCCAAAGAACTTGAAATCCCGGTTTCAAGAACAGACATCTGTGAAGGTTGGTGCGGATTGTGATAAAAAGACCATGCAAGACATCTAAAGAGCTTCAGGCTGACCTGGATCAATCTGGAGTGGTGACTTCTGCCCATACCATGCAGTGCACACTAACCCAAGTTGGACTCCATGGATGAAGGCCAAAGAGGACACCACTATTGAAAGAATGGCACAAAAAGGCTAGACAAAAACCTTCTTAGATAAGTCACAGTCTCTCTGGGATAATGTTCTATGGACAGATGAAACTAAAGCAGAGCTCTTTGGGAATGTGGTGCAGCAGTTGGTTTATAGGTGATGGGATGAAGCCCATAAGGGAAAGAACAGCCTGTCTACAGTAAAATATGGGAGAGGCTCTATCATGGTGAGGGGCTGCTTTGCTGCCTCTGGTACTGGAGGCAATGAATGTACCAAAGGAACGATGAAATCAGAAGGTTACCAAGGTATTTTAGAGCAAAATGTGTTATTCAGTGTCCAAAAACTTGGTTTGGGCAAAAGTCTTGGGTCTTTCAGCAGGACAATGACCCAAAGCAGACATCCAACAGTACAAGAGAACGGTGGAAAAGGAAAGACGGACTGTTTTAAACTGGCAAGTGATGAATCCTGACCGAAATCCCATTGAAAGCCTCTGCAGAGAGCTGAAATCTGCCATTGTAAATAGGACTCCTGTAAACTTAAAAGAGCTGGAATGCTTAGTAATGTTAGAGTAGCGGAAACTGCTAGCAGATGGATGCAAGAAGCTTATAGATGGATACAAGAAATGTTTAGAAACGGTCATTGTCACCAAAGGTTCTGCGACCAAATATCAGTGAAGGAGCCAATAACCATGTCCAGCATACATTGTATGTCTATATTTTATTTCACTATATGACAGCTTTTGTTGTTGTTGTTGTTCAATAACTTTGGACATTTTATTAAATATTCTGATCATACAAAATTGGTTCATTTGCATTTATTTCTGAAGATATTCTACATTCTGTACTTACAATTAATGGGTGCCAATAATCCTGACCAGGACTGTACATGGGAAATATGCCATGATCACATGTCAAGATATTACACAGTACCAGCCCTTCATTTTAAAAGTGATCAAATTTATTATTTAAAAAGAGGGTCATGCCATTTTAATTCAACATTATAGTATTTTTTACACTATTGCAGCTATAGCTCATTGGGAAGCTCAAAAAGACTCATTTTTCATGGTATATTCAAGTTAAGTTTTTGCATTAACCTAAGTTTCTTCGCAATTCATCTCATGAACTCCACTGGCTATAAAAAATAGTGAAAGTAGTGAAACACAGGCTGTTGTCCAGTTACATTTTACAAAACTGTTAACCTGTCTAAACAAGAAAGTACACATGTCCAGGTTTAATAATCGGTAAATGCTAAATTAGTCAGGTTATGCCTGATACTTAAATATTTGTATTTCTTTATCTTTACAGAGTCCTTTGAAAACATAATGGCATGGTTGTGTCATTCAAAAACTATGCTGGAGAGTCTCTTTGTCTTCTTAATTTTCTCTGATGAGCACAAAAAAATGTTATTACATGTATGCGATCAGAGTAATACTTGTACATATCGAAAGGAGTAAAGATCTGCCGTAAAGTGGCCTGCAAACTTCACCAGGACTTCATCTTTCAAGACAAAGGAGAAATTCTCTCAAAAGTCCTCCAAAACATTTTAACATTTAATAACATTCTAACTTCTTTCTTCCCAATTTGGTTTTTGAGCCTCAAAATCATAATTTTTATATATATATAAAAAAAACACTTTGGGAGTGGTTTTGTGATGAGGGGGGCAGGTAGCAGGTCAGTGTTTTATATGGATGTAGTTCTCAGACATATATACTTCATTATTATACAACGGCAGAGTCGGATTCTCACATCTGAAGGAAACTGACTGATTTTCAATAACTGCGCAGGTTGTGTCTGACGGGCAGTTACCACACCTGTCTGATATCTTGTTTAGGCAGTTTAAACAAGAGTGTGAAGTATGACTAGACTACAAGCAGTGCCTTTAAAAAGTATAATTAATGGCTTGTCCTGCATTAAACCTTAGGCTACTAAAAGCCTTTCATTGTATTTTTCATAATCAACAGTAGTTAATGAAACTCAACCATTTAATAAGAGACCTAGACTAGAAGTTACATTAGAATATACAACGAAAGAGTAGATTTTGTGAGCTTCCCAAAGACCTGTAGCTGAGTCATGTAGCTGTAATGATACAGAGGTTCATTGGAAAACACTCTGACACCCAGGGTGTGGCAAATAAACTACAAAAACATTCCTGGGCTTTGGCAGGTTTGCATAATTCGTGAAGTGGACACTATTTGGAAAGATACAAGAACAAAAAAATTGGGAGACAGCCACGAATCCACGAAACTGTCATGTAAAGCTGGGAATAAAATGAATACCCTGTATTTCTTAAATCTGACAGATAATATATGTTTATATATTTACCGTAATCTTGGGACTCCATTTTCACTCTCCACGACCTGAGAACAAACCATCACGGGAGAATCAATGTGATTCATGATGCGAGTTTCTTTAGTTTTGCACAGACACACATGCGCTCTCATCTCAGCAGTTTGAGGCGCTGCAGCTTGTTCCGTTCGCGAAAACCCGGATTAAACCACTCAACCGAAGACTTTTCACAAGGTTTCTACACACTTCCCATTTTCAAATTCCGTATTTTCCAGACTGAACTGGGAGCGGAGACAGTAGTAGTTGTCATGGGTGGGGGTGGCGATGGAGTCAGCTGTCAGGGGTGGGGGGGTGGCATGAGGTTGGCAACGGTGTTCTGTCATAAAATCCTACCTACGGTAATACCGTAATACCTACGGTAGGATTTTATGACAGCAATACGGTAGCATTTTTCGACAAGGCAGCATTTATCAACAGAACATCGGTGGTTTGTTAATTCGGAGCACCCATCTTGCCCTCAATAAAATCCGCCACTGGCTGCCGATTAGACAGCAATGCCTCTGACTCGCCGTTTTGCTTTCTGTTCAAATTTGGCATCGTTAGCGAACCAGTTACATAATCTGGGATCGGCTAGAAAAGCAGATGAAGACTTGCGTTTCCCCGCAGTAAGTCCTGTAAATGCTCTCCTGCCTGCCCTACTGCTGTACCACCATTCACTGTGCCATCGGAAAAAGCGCCATCACCTGCCTGCCTTCCGCATTTAGACTCAAACCGTAAAATTTGGACAGCGTAAATTATGATTTTAGTCATTCTGTTCATTTGCGCGTACCCCACAGACACAGCCCCCCTCCCTCGTTTGGGACGTTTTTCTTCAGTGTCCTTTCTGTGCTCATTCTGGCTCCAACAGCTAGCTCACATTAGTGGTTCATAAAATACATACAGTGCTACACACACTGTAATTAATGTAACACATAAGATCAACATACACAACATGCAGAATGTTAAGACAGTATCCAAGCAATTTTCTATTAAACCTTTAGGGATTAAGTGGCACCTCTTACCTTTGTCTTCACTGTGATTTTATTTCAGTAAGAACATGTTTCATAAAATGTCTAATCCATTAGCTGCTGTGCTTTGCTCACCACCCTTCAGGAAAATGTGTCTGATTTAATGTGTCTGAGCAATACAAGTCGATCAGCAATGAAAGGCATGAGGAAATGATTCCACTTCCAATTTTGTAAGCCAAGAGGCTAGGTACTGATCAGGTTACACGGGAAATTCAAAGACAGATTATGGCAGGAAGGTTCCTTCTACCTGGTACCTAAGACTAACATGGGGTTTGGTGGCAGTCGAACATCACGCAGTACAATGCAATTTTTATGCTGGGATCTAAATCAGAGATAGAGAAGAGGTTTTGAAAGCTAGCTCTGATCCTAAGTAAAGGTTATTTGAAGATAATGGTACTGGTTATCTAAATATACAGTACAGAATCAGCAGAAAACACTGACTGTTCGTACATATTGCATTATGTGGTATTTTTCTGACCCATATACTATAGAGCAGGGGTCTCCAATTCCGGTCCTGGAGAGCTACTATCCAGTAGGTTTTCTATCATACCTGGCTTCTGATGAGCCACACTTGTTCTCAGGTAAATACCAGGAGCAGGTGTGGCTCATCAGAAGCCAAGTGGGACAGAAAACCTACTGGATAGTAGCTCTCCAGGACCGGAGTTGGAGATCCCTGCTATAGAAGCATCAGTCTGAGTCTTCATAACCATTAACCAGAGCGCCACTGCGCCCCCTACAGGGACCCACCGGCGGTGTCCGCATTTCTCTCTAATGTTTCTCCCATATTGAGACACACTAAAGCTTTATATACCGCCGTCAGTTTTAAGATAAAATTAATATTTAAAATAAACATTAAAAAGCACTGTTTATTAGGTTAGCAAATATTTTTTTAATATTTATTTTAGCACAATGACAAAAAGGCCTTTTAAAATAATTCAATGAATAGATAAAAGCCACACCTTAAATACACTCAATATATCATTTACTCTTCAATGCTGTCACATCAAAATAATAATAAAACAGCATACACTGCAATAACAACCAGTAAATGGATAATCATGTTTTTTTTTCTTAAACATTTTTAACAGTCACTGCATCAAAGACTTAAAATGTCACTCCACTGCAGCCCAGTGACAAACCCGTGACGATGGGACTGACTAGTTTCTTAACCTCAAATAGAAAACCAGACTGATCCGTTATTATTCTTGGAAAACGGCAGCAATGACCTTGGAACTGTTTGTCCATTAACGAGATCTGACGTTTAGCCGTCAGATTCAGTCTGATATTTTTCAAGGGGTTTCACACATTTTCCTGCCATTTCTGTATTTCTAACTTTCTGTTTACAGGTCATGCTTCTAACCACAGAAATCATCCCAAGAGAAAGTGCATTTCTTTTCACCTGCATGTAATCTAGAAAAATATAGTTAAGAGAAATCTCTGCTGTCCGCAGCTGAGCACCGACAGGTCTGCCAATCGAATGTCCGCCGTATACTGCAATACACAATGGTGGGGTGGCAACTGGGCCCCAAACTCAAGTCTGCATCTCTCAAGCTGAACTCGATACTATTGAGGTGCCACTGCAAAAAAAAAAACAACAGGAATCTAATGTTGCACTTTTCCAGTTCAGAGTTCGGGAACCACAGCAAATAGCTCCATGTTTGATATCGAACAGATAAAACCCAAGTTTAAAGCCAGCACCTCACACCGCGCTGTCCAGGGAATATCAATTCCACAAATAAACTCGTACTGTTACTTTCATTACAGTGTGGATTAGTTTCATTTTTCTTCTTCAAAGTTGCGAAGCTTGTTACTGCACATGGCAAAATGTTTCATACAAACATCGGCTCTTTATTCAACCTTCAAATCTCAAGCAGATAAAGGCAGAACTTAAGAGAGATGTGTTAGCAAAGATTAGATTGGAGAAGTTCTTACATACTGTTCCCTGATCAAGATAAATCCTTCGTAACATGTGCTCTCAATTCAATCTGCACTTCAGTTACATAACTGAAAACAGTAATGCACTACAGTAATAATGTCAGTGTGGTTTACAAATGTGAGCACTTGCCACCTTGCAGATTTGACATCAGATATCATGCTATGGCCATGCATTGATCATGGCCCCAAGATGCTAGTATTTAATTTGTTTCTTTGATCGATAAGTTCACGCCATTACACAGCTATGCAGTGGTACACAGGCGGGTACCTGCAAAATCATAATTTTGTAGAGAAACATTAGTATGTATTAAAGCAATAACAATCCATGTTGTATATAGCTTTCGCAGAAAAAATAAATATATGTATATATATAAATATATGTATATATGTATGTGCTATGTTGTCTGCTCATTTTCCAGTTGGATTGGGAATGATTTCAGTGCTCATTTCTAATACCCCAGGTCAACTTCGAAACTCACAAGGAGATCTGGGCGAATTCTCCAGGCAAAGCTGAGTATTCTGGAAATCATACACATACGAATGTTGAGTTTCATGTATAGAAAATACAGCACAGCAATGTGAATAAACCTATTGAGTCACTAATGGTCTCATTGCTTTACCATTTAAATGTAAACATCCTTAAACCCACAACTGAAATACATACAGCAAAAAAAAACCATTTAATTTCCACAACAGAACATATTAAATCATTTGACTTCAGTAGTTATTTGCAACAATATCAACAACAACAAGAGCAACAAAAAGACTTGGTTCTACATGAAATAATTTCTTGAAAAGGAATGTTTCCTAACAAGCAAGTTCATCCCAATCAATTGTTTCCACCATGTATGAAATTATGAGATTAAATATTTAAATTTAATAAATAATAGTCAAATATTAAAATAGAGTCACAATATGTACACTATATAACTTAAGGACAGAAAATACAAATCACATGAACTGTAAAATTTTGACATGGGGGTAAAATCTAAGGAATAAAGTTTTAATCATTCAAGCAACTTTTGAATTAATTCCTTTAGCATTTGTAGTAACAGTTTAGAATAGAATGTCCTTTCATTTATCATCACAGACATTGTGTGACATCACACTCCACATTTTCTAATGGCTTTAACTGTTATCTAAACAATGTATCTCTCTCTGATCATATGATGTATTGTCAGTGGCAGACTCCAGATTTCCTTCTAAAATTGTTAGTAATCTAATCTAATGCCGTGGTTTAAACACTGTGGTCTGGCAAATGACCACCATGCCTCATTCATTAACTTTAAACAGCAGCTGGTAATATTGGGTCTGCTTCATACCGTACTGTCCTGTAAACAGAATTTTAATTTCAAATAATCCAGTACTATACAGTTTGATTTAGGTTACAAGTTAAACTAAATGAATACAGTTCTAAAATATGTGTGCAGTTCTACTGCAGCCTTACTGCGATAGTACCAGTGTGCACCAGCCCTTCCTTCAGGCAGTCACACACCACTAACACACACTGTCACAGTAAGGATTTTTGGCCAGGAATAACATTCCCAAGACGTCTAACAGCAGCACTAACACTTCAGACCGCAGGCTGATTTGGCCCCTGCTCACCACAAACACAATCATTTAGGCGTTCTGGTACTGCTGCTCAAAGATCCGAGTTCTCCGTGCTGTAATACTGCCTTAGAACCCTCTACCACCACATCTGTCAGCTTTTAAAGCGTCTAATCATATTTACAAATGAAGTTTTCCATGCCAGCAACTCTTAATGTCCACTCACACGCTGGTCCGACTGTCCTAGGAATATCTCACTACTCCGTCACTGTTGCCGTTTCCAGTCCAATCCACACCTTCCTCACACACCACCTCCCAACACAAGCCAACATCACCGCACCATCCAGTTCTCTCGATTGTGTAGACATATTGATTCCTCCAAAATCACACACCTTTTCTTAAACTATTACTATTGTTTTACAGAGATTTTTACTGAGACGAGCCAACTGGGTGGTGCCAATGTTTGGGAAGTTCAGCCTCTGCTCGGAGATATTTGTATTTGAATTACTGATTAAATACTAAAGGGATTCAGATGTCATGTGGATGGTCACTGATTTTGTTAAAACTCAGAAACCTGCAAAAGCTAATGAAGCATCGCAATTATCTACTCCAAATGTATCCAAAAAGCACATTTTTCTTGAATCCATCCAAACCATCCAATCTCCATCCCTCACAAGCACCAGTAGCTGTGCCCTACATTCATAGACACCTTCCAGACATGCAGCCTTCCTTCCTCCACAGAAACCATCAACGCTCCGTGTTCCGCCCTCACTAGTGACTGTAGCGGGCAGTGACAGACAGTATATACCTGCACGAAACAGCCCGTTGATAGATGGGAGAGCAGAAATGTAATGAAAGAGCAAGAGCTGCAATTCAAGTGTTGTGTTTGATTAAATGGGCTGGCAATGACCCGGCAAACAAGAGCAAAACCAGAATAACAAGCAAAGGCTCAATTAAATGCGCCGGTAATAAAAACCAATTAGAAACTATATTTTCCATTTGAATCGATGAAGTCCATTGGTTCAGTTTCTCTAAGGCATTTGCATAGAATATTTCAGTCCACCACTATGTTCAAGCAACTATTTTTTCACATTATGCTTGCTAGAAACAAAAAATATTCCAAAATTACACAGAATAAAAAAAATGCCCAAGCATACATTGGAATTAACATGAAAAAAAAGATCTTGGTCCTATAAGCAAAGAATATCATGGGCTTGGTCCTATAAGCAAAGAATATCAAGGATATTGCCTTGAATTGCAGAGCCTGGTTAAAACAGGTGGGGGTGCACGATACAAACAGTTCTACGTCAACACAGTGAAAAACAAGCCTGAAAAATCCACCAGAGGGCGCCATTTCCTTTCATTATTTCAGTGAGCGATCAAGAAAAAAAGCACAACCTCTCTGGAGATTTCCACGAGGTGTTATAAGTAAAGCATTTTACTGCTTCATGCTTCAGAGTGAGGCAATATTCTTGCACAAATTTTACAACTGAAATGTTATATCGATCAGCCTAGGCACTGCAACTAATTTTGCCAACCTATATTAAAAATACATGTATTATATTTTCATACAGTTTAAAATTAATCAGGTGTAAATGTGTCTAAGAAAATGGACAACAGCCTGTATTACAACCCAGTTAAACATGCAGGACCATTTCTCCCTGGAAAAAATATAGTCCTGTCTGACAGAAAACACGTTTCCTTTTGTTTTTGGTACAAATTCTTAGCAGTACATTCTACCACCCCACAATCTCTATGAAAACCACTATATTATTTTGTATAGCACTGCAACAGACTACCAAGACTTGGCAAAGAGGTCATATATAAGGGAAATATTTTAACTACTAAACACAGAAGCATCAGTCAATCTTCCAGCTTTCATTGTGAAGACAAAAAGAAATAAATTTGTAAAAACATTATAGGTCTTTGATATACAATTCAAAAATATTTTTAAAGGGATATCAATATTTTGATATATTTTCACCTAAATCTCTATTTAATACTATCATATATTGAACTTTAACTTTTCCCAAAGTTATTAATACTGTCCTAAACAAACCCTCATTTTTCAAATGGAACAGATGGAAAATCTGACCTAAATGAAAGCATCACAGATGTCATAAACAAATGTATAGTTTGGCAAACTTTTGCTACCAGAAGGTAGATTTGGGAGTTGAAATACTATTTTCAAACATTTCAAAGATGACACAAGCTCTGACGCATCATCCGTCACCATGTTCCTTCCCGTTCCTCATGCATCTGGAATCCTCTCTGTTCTCACAGATGTGGAAAACAGAGGCCTGCCTGCTCTGTGATTGGTTGGTGGGAGAGTCCATATTGTATTTCATTGGGTAGGAGGGTAGACTGGTGCGACCGGGTTGCTGAGCTATACGGGGAGCACTGACGACTGCATCACATTTGATAGGTCAGGGGCGGTGACCTCATGCTTTCTTGGGGGGTGGAGCCAGCTTGATGATCTCATCTTCTGATGGCTGGCGAATGATATCTAGAAAGAAACACCAACAGATCAGCCGTTCCTTAAATATATGCCGCAGTGGAGTGAACCAGGAATACAGAAAGTGAGTAATAAAAGCGCACCCTTGTACTTCTTGGCAGAGGGGATCCGCGTCAGCTTGGTGTCGATCTCGTCATCTTCGGAAATCTTCAGCACTGTGGTGCGGTACTCGATGACGCGTGTCAGCAGGTCGGGGCGCCGTGAGATCTCGAAGATGTGCTCGATGTAACAGAGGTTATCTACAGAATCGCAGCATGGGAGAGGCAAAGAAGGGCGTTTACCTTCAGCCAATACTGCGGCCTTGTTTTCCTGTACTGATCATTACTACTACAGACCCGAAATGAGCACAATGGGACAAGCAACGGCAAGAAAATCAGGTCAATAGTGCCTTCTTTTCAAGCATAAAATCAGAATATAAACTTAATTGCTTTACAGTTTTTAGGTACCCCCTGGACAGGATAAGTGTCTAGATGATAGGAGAAGATGGAAGAATTATATTAATCCAGAGACCAACAATCTCTGCGTGGATTCTGCACGTTCTCACCACGTTCCACGCTAATCCCTATGTTTGGCTAACATCCCATCCAAGACACATATTGGTCTATTTCATCTGCCTGGTGGTCGTGTGTGTTTGGGCTCGGTGTCTCTCACCTTGGGAAAGCTTGTCATTCTTCTCCAGGTAGTGGAACCACTCCTTGGAGGAGGTGATAGCATTGCTCTGCTCCTCTGGAATGTCCTCCTTACAAGCAGACTTAAGCTGGTCCAGGTCTTCATTGGTGATGTTCTCAGACAGGTCACTAAGCAGAACACTGTACTCCGACATGTCCTGTAAACAGGGGGCATACAACAGTGTTCTGTCAACACCAGCAGGTTTACAGATGTTCGGACATAAACAGTGAATTTATACCATTTTCCTTCTTTATATGCTAAATAACACCAGTTCCATTAAACATTACTATAAAATTAAAAAAAATACATCTTAGTTTCCATATTCAAACACAAGAGTTGTTACGGAAACTTAGCAAACTGTTTTATCAAAATCAACCTAATGCTGTTAAGTAGCATCTGAGAAACCATGGCAAATGCAAATTAAGATGATCTGAGGCCAATCAGGATCATTTGGTCCCTAAGCTAATAGATCATGAAAAAGACCAAGTGACTGTCTACAGCAGGGGTGGCCAATCTTATCCGCAAAGGGTCGGTGTGTATGCAGATTTTCGCTGCAACTCCCTAATTAGATTACTAATTAGAGGACTGATTGGCTGAAGAGTCCTCACACCTGGGTTTGAACAGCTGACCTACAGGTTATCCCAAAAACCTGCATACACACCGGCCCTTTGCGGATAAGATCAGCCACCCCTGGTCTAAAATATGTGTGTGTAGAGAAAGCTGATATGATCCAACACCTGCATCATGAAATCATAATTACTCATCCAAGCATTTGCAGTTTTACTGGCAGTGTTTCAAAAGCAATTATTTAAGGCAACTCAAAGCCTTTTGAAAGGTTCACAGAATAAAGTTACATTTTCCCTTAAAACTGGCATTTTGCGTTCTAGGAAAACTTCCATAAATGGAAATCACTGAAATTGCATCCAGTGACAACTACCGTGTAAAATGTGACAAGCTGGATCAAACTGGATTTATTTATAATGATCCTTTTGTTTGCCAGTAACAGATTTTGAAAGACTGATGATGACGCGTCATTGGCTGGAAACTGAAATGACTGAATCATCTGCACATGCATTCAATGTGTTCATGCCAGGACAATAAAAACACCCGGACTGAGTTAACGCGCTTTTCACCACAGTCACGAACGCGGAGCACCAAAAGAACAGAGTGAGGGGGCTTCCTTTACAATAGCAACAGAGGGACTTTATCGCTGTTAAAATTCGCTTTAGCTTCCTACTCAGTTGAGAACCATGAACTAATTCAATTTGTTTTATGACCCCACATATTGGCTCTGTAATATAATTTCACTTTGCTTAGAGAACATTCTGCATCATATTTAAATGATTCAAAGTTAGCTTTAGCACATTCATTTGGCAGTTTATTTCAGTGTCACTACGTGAAACAAACGTACAACGAGTAGCACTATGCGTGCATATTTTAAGGCAAAATGCAAATTTTCAAGCAAGCATGTTATCCTCCACACAAAGCAGAGTGGTTGGTAATTCCTCTGCTTTGTTTTCAGTACCTTTCAGCTCGTTTCATTTCTTCCCCTTTGTTTCTCCCTCCCATCCTGTTTGTTTTCCCAGTATTTGTCTAAGTCACCTTTGCGTGTGTTCGTGTGTGTGTGTTTTTGCTCTGACCGTGATATACAGCGTTCTGGAGTGCCTGATATGCGAAAGTGCCCCCCCAAAAGCACCGGGTCCAGCTCTCCTCATCCATCTAACAGCCCGGTGACGCCCACCCTGTCTCTAAAAACACATCACAGCCCTCTCTCTCCGCTATCACACGAGCTCCCGAAATCCAGCAGCCATGCCTCACACTCTCCACGGTGACTTGGATAGGTGTAGGGAGTCAGAAAAACCAGTGACTCGGCCCAACCGAACGGACCACACAAAGAGAAGAGACAGGACATACGCTGCGGCTTGCACCGCTCATTCTTTATCAGTTCCGGAACTTTCGCGGCCTGCGACGCCGAAGCGATCCCCTCTCATCCGCCCTCTAGTGGACAACTACAGAAGGACAATTCCTGGGAGCTTGGGTTAAACCACATTTTGACAATACAAAGACAGCCCCCAACACCTCACTGCAACTATAAAAAAATAATAATAATAATAAAAATCAATTAAAAAAACTATATCCATAGTCACATTCTTGATTCATTATAGATAGTCGCTGTTTTCCTTTAAAACCGCTATGCACCAGCTCTCAAAGCCACAAACAGAGATGCCACATTGCAAGAAATTATTCCAGAACTACCTTCTTCTGATGAATAGGTACAGAAAATGCAATAAACTTCACAGCATCTAATCCAGCATTAATACATTAACAAACAGAGAGGAAAGTCTTCACTCTGTCTTGTACAAGCATACAATATACATACACACCCCCACAGATGCCCACACACATTGACAAATGCGGCAATAAGGCTGCACAGTCTTACTCCGTTACACACCCACACTGCACTGAGCACGCAGTGACGAGAGCCATGTTGGATTGAACAGAAGGCACAGCAGAAGGCATGCCATGGGACTACAGGGGAACCAACACCATAATGAGTCACTTTTATGTTTATCTTAATTAAATCTTTATTATATGCCCTGATGAGGAAGCAAAATGCTAGCAGTAAACTGGTTGTTTGCAGAAGCCACTGCATGCTGGTGTCAAATTTTTATTAAAGCCCCATTTCTCCGTCAAACGTCAGTCAAAAATTACACTTGGTTCTCCACTCCGTTTCCAGGAAGCGGCCCCCATATCACTTGTCTTGAGCATGTTTTGTCTTCCATTATTATGTCCTTTGCCGTTCAATAATGGGTGCGATACAAATTTGCCATTTATTGCACTTTATCGTTCATCTTTTACTTTGTCACACCTGCCCTCATCAGACTTGCCAGAATGGAAACAACAACTGGACTGGCTGTTGAGAGACGGCGTGTGTGGGGCTGCACAGGTGCAAGCAGACGTTTGCTTTCAGAGGGAGGGAGAGGAGACTTTCAGATCTCGCTTTCCTGAGTCTGTCAGCTACCCCGCGTTCAGAGACAAAGAGGACCTAGAAAGAGCCATGCTCCTAGTGACCCCCCCCCCCCGCCCCCCATTACCCATGCCACACACCCCGCTCACCAGCCTGCCATCCAGTCTTAACACATAGCTGATGTTGTCATGGAAACCAGTTTTGCTTTTCAAACAGAACACAGTTGCCTAGCAACGGAAAGCAGCTCCCCCATCCAAAAAAAAAAAAAAAAAACTAACATTGGGCCATAGGGTTGGGGGGTAATATGCAAATGAGAAGCTGTAAGTGAAACACCAAAGGTTAGGGTTTGGGGGGCAGGTCTTCAGAAAAAACCAAGACAAATGAATATATGGAACTTGCTTCATTCCTGGTAAAGGCTTGACCCAACACCAGATATAAACCAAAACCTGGGTTCAGGACCTGACCTGACTCCAACCAGCTACCACAGCAGACCAGACCAAACCTAAACCTACCAATGGACCAGGAACAGCCTTGCACAGTCCAGAATGACAGTTTAATTTGCACGTTTTAGACCATTGACGAGAGAGGAGTCGAAAAATAGGGAGTCAATGAATTCAGGAAAATCTTATTCACCCCAATAACACTGTTTATTGAGCGTCATTATTTTCCATTTTGAAATAATCACACCAAACAAAAGCTGTGACATGAGCACCTGACAGTGAAATGGAAAAAAAAAAAACACAGTACAAACAGAGTCTAGCTTGTTGACAAGCAGATAAACACTATCAGATTGATAAGCTCCTCCTGTGACTAATGACCGAAGCCTGTTTTGCTGTGTGACTTGGAAGCTGCTGTATTAAATAACAGTCATCGACAAAAGAGCACCATTGAAATGCATTAGCCATGCAGAACATATGAGAAACTGTATATATACCAGTAGCAGCCTCGCCAGGCTGGGACATCAAAGCTGTTTACAAGAAGGACAATCAAAATCACAGGTCTGGCAGGAAACATCTGCCGTTTCCCTACGCCCCCTCCGCTTGGCTTCCTATCTCCGCTATTAACGCACAGATGTGACGACGGGGGGGGGGGGGGGGGGGGCGCAACCACGCTTGCTTCTTTCCCATACAGATGTCAGACGTCACGCTCCACCCCAGGACCAGAGAACGGAGGAAGCGACTTGCTTTCTAACTCCTTTTTCATCGAAGCACGAAGGTCAGAAGGTGATGATTCAGACAACGTGCTTTAGGAGAAGCATCTCTCCGTGACATTTCTCACTTTCGGGGGCCGATTCGCTGTACTCGCAGCGGGAATCGATACCGGGGGGGGGGGGGTGCCAGCCTCATGTCCCAGGCCGGCTCCCCAACTGGCCGTCTGTCTTTCAATCTCACCCTTTCTGAGCCTTGTGGACTAATTAAAATCCAGGCCGTGGCCCCAGCAACTGATGCATGGCGTTCTGGCACAACACATCACTTACGTGGGTGGCAAACGTCGGGGGTGGATGGTGAGCTAGCGATGTACTGTAAAATGTCTCAAGATCTCCTGAAGAACATCATTACGTAACAAAAGTTACCACTTCTGTGAACAAAGCAGTAAATAAAAAACAAACAATAATCACGCTCCTTATGCTATTATGAATGAGCATTTGAAGGTAAGTTCCTCTGTATAAGATCTATACTGAGAATGCATTAAGATGCAAAGAGGTCTGATGCAGTCATTAAGCTTTGTTAGATCAGTAGAACAAAAACAGGCTCCATCTCCCTCCACACAACATCCCTGCAAGTGCCCTTGTCACACTCCTCACAACAAGGCTTTTTGAGTCTGCTGAAGAGACCATGCCGTCGCACCGTAAGTACAGGGCAGACTTGCTGCTCAACTCTCACTATGACATCACCCAATCAGCTCATCACCCAATCAGCTCTGCACATGGTGGAGCACACAGAGGTTTTATGTCGCTTCAGCCATTCACTGCAGGCATTCGTTAAAGGAAGGGCCTTTAAAGCGACTCCCCCCCCCCCCCTCAGCCAAGGAACCTCAAAATACAGCACTGATTTATTCTAAAAACACTCTTACCGTCACCATTCCCTTCAAATCCCTTGACCACATTTCCAAGAACCACAGAATCGACTCAGCTAAAAATAATAGGCTGAAACTGGGTTTAATTGCTGGAAGCAACAGTTGATTTGCTT